CCCCTCACCTCAAGTTTTTCTACGTTGTGACCGCAACGTCAACCAGGTCCAATGGGTTAATGTAATGGTGTTCAGTTCATACAACAAACTGCATCTACCCAGCTAAAATCAGCTCAAAATCTAAACTGGATCAGATGTATTGTAACACATAATTATACATTATTCATGAAATATGGATTAGTGGTTCGGGTCTTATATCATTGTTAGAGAAGGTTAGTATTCTGTAATCATTATGGCATGCAGAGGTTGCCATCATAATGAAAATAATGAAGACAATAATAATAATGCTTATTTCAACATTTTTGGAAGTTTATTATTTCTTGTATCAGGATATATTTAATTTCCAACCATTGTTATATGAATAAATAGTAACATCAACAGAAAAAATATATACATAAATATTGTCGAACGTCAACACCTTCATTTACATAAATCACCATTTCTTCACAAACATAAACAGAAAGAAAAGAACATAATGTGGATCTTCAACCTCTTTCATTACATCAATTTTCATTTCTTCATGAACATCATGAAAAATTAAAATCCTTTTGCTTCTGGGCTTTATTCTGTCACACTGGTAAAAAAGAATACCAAGCACAATCACAATACATTAACCAAAGTAGAAAAAAACAACATCATTGCTCTGGCCATTCTTCTTGATACAAGAGCAAATTGAAGCAGTTATCACAACAAAAGTTTTGAGAACGTACGACACTGGTTATCACTTGCACTATTTTAATACCTATATCCTTTTGTTACTGGAACATCTTGGCATAAGCTGCCTTCTCCTTCTCCTTCCTGGCTCGAATCTTCTTCAGAACTGCATCGAGCTCCCTTAGGATGCCCTTGTCATTGGGTTCAAGCTCCTTAGCCTTCTCCAGGTCGGTTCTTGCTGAATCAATGTCATTACTGAGGTTATAGGCTTGTCCTCGGCGGAAATAGGCCTTGGGATTGGAGCTGTCTAGTTCGATGGCCTGGAAAAGCAATGAAAAAATGTTAATCAGTATGGATAATAAGAACATACCTAGGAAAAAAAAATTACAAATGGAATAGTTATATTGTTCCTGCAATGCTTCTTGGAAAGGGAAATAGAACAATACTTGTTAATGTTGTCACTTATTCTTATACACAACTTTTTGACACCCTTGAAAGTTTTTGATTATCAGAAACTTTGCACTTTAGGACACTTCAGTTTTAATTTCTAAAATTCTAAAAACGAGAGAGAGAGAGAGAATAGAGTACGGAGGAGAGAAGAGGAGGAGGAGGAGGAGGAGAGAAGAAGGAAGTGGCAAGGAGGAGGAGAGGAGAAGAGAGATGAGACAACATGAGAGAGAGGAGAGGAGAGGAGAGGAGAGGAGAGGAGAGGAGAGGAGAGGAGAGGAGAGGAGAGGAGAGGAGAGGAGAGGAGAGGAGAGGAGAGGAGAGGAGAGGAGAGGAGAGGAGAGGAGAGGAGAGGAGAGGAGAGGAGAGGAGAGGAGAGGAGAGGAGAGGAGAGGAGAGGAGAGGAGAGGAGAGGAGAGAGAGGAGAAGGAGAGGAGAGGAGAGGAGAGAAAGAGACAAGGGAAGAGAAAAAGAGAGTAGGAGAGAAGAAAAGAGAGAATAGGATAGAAGTGAAGAGGAAAGGAAAGAGGACAGGAAAGGGATAGAGAGGAGAGGAGAAAAGAGCAAAGAAAAAAAAAGGGGGAGGAGAGGAGAGAGAAGAGAGAACAAGAGACAAAAGAGAATAGGATAGAATAGGATAGGAAAGAGAAGATAGGAGAGAGATGAGAAGAAGAGAAATATGGAGAGGAGAGGAATGAGAAGAATTGAGAAAAGTAATGAGAAGAGGAGAGGAGCGGAGAAAGGAGAGCGAAAAGAGAGATGGAGTATAAATGCCTGCTAAACTTACTCTGTCGCAGTCACTAATTGCTTTGCCAAACCAATTCAGCTTAATAGAACACAACGCGTGATTGAGGAGACATGAGACAGACAACTTGGTAAGGATGTTCACTTCCAGCTCACTGATGTCACTACGCGCTTTGCCTTGTTCTTCGATACTGCAAAATAAAAAGTGAGGTATAAATTGAGATGTATAGGATACTATGCATAATTGCAAATGATTGCCAAAACCTTCTATGATGACTAAATATCTAAAAATAACAAACAAACACACACACATACAAGCATACAAATAAACACACACACACAAGTATACAAATAAACACACACACACAAGCATACAAATAAACACACACACAAGCATACAAATAAACACACACACAAACATACAAAAACACACACACACACACACACACAACACACACACACACACACACACACACACACACACACACACACACACACGTAGTAAAAAGTAACAATAACAAAATAGTAATGGTAATATGATAATGATAATAACAGTAATAATAATAATAATAACATATATGAAATCTTAGAAAAATAAATTTATATAATAATAAATAATGAATCTTATATATAACATTAGATATGAAAAAGAGATATAACATTTAACGTGTGACATGTTCGACTAATATAAATGAAGACGGATTACCAGAACATAAGTGAAGGATGGATTGCCTATTATTTGAAGGATGGATTATTTGTGTAAGTTTTAATACAGGCTGACATTAAAAAATCCAGCATATTTCTTATGGTTATACATGCTGTATACATCTAACAGAAAATACGGGTACGGTCCTTTACAGTGAATCTCAAACACTAAATGAAAAAGCAGAATGAAATGCTAATGCTCACAACTAAATGTTATTATTATTATAATTATTATTATTATTATTATTATTATTATTATATAATATATATATATATATATAGATATAATATAATATATATATATATAGATTTTTTTTTTTTTTTTTTTTTTTTTTTTTTTTTTTTTTTTTTTTTTTTTTTTCCACTTTCGACAACACACAATGCTCATGTTTTACACAACCTCTTTTCTTTGCTTAATCCATCCTGGGGCCATACAGCATAATAAACATGATAACATAAGGACTGAGCACGAATGCCTCTTAGCACGTGCAAACAAGACCCAACAGCTGATTCTGGAGTACATGGCCACCAAAACAAACGGCAACTCCAGAAAACAGATGCAAGCCAAAGCGGTAAATTTTAAAAATGTGATCCGAAATCAATGCCGGAAATCTGAGGGGACCAGATTATCAATGGCCAAATTTTTAAATGTCAACCTGTATGACTAAATACAAATAGTGGTTATGATATTATCCATAATAAATCCAACTGTCCTTAAGCTGTAACTAGTACAAGTTACAATCATTTACCACAGCACTAATTAAATTTACAATTTCTACAACAAATAGAAACTATAGCAAATTACTATTTCAAAATAAAACTATTACAAATGAGTAAATTTACTTATTATTGCATAACAAGACAAATGTATTTTCAAAAATCATGAAGTAACCTGGTAATGAAGACAAATAAATATATGAATATACAAATTAGTCAATAAATAAATAAATAAACAAATAAATAACTTACTGTAGTGTATACCAAAGATTTTATCATAATTCAAAAATATTTCAAAGATCTTAATAAGAAAATAACTTAATAAATATATAAATAAACAAATAAATAACTTACTTTAGTGTATACCAAAGTTTTTATCATAATTCAAAAATATTTCAAAGATCTTAATAAGAAAATAACTTAACAAATATATAAATAAACAAATAAATAACTTACTGAAGTGTATAATAAAGATTTAATTATAATTTTATAATATTTAAAATCTTAATACGAAACAACGACTTACTGTTTTAATATAGACAAGACTCTTCTGGTATTTCTTAATGGCTGCGGTAAAGTCTTGATTCTTAAAGTAGGTGTTTCCTGAGTCTTTAATGTCGTTCACAACCTGTATTAATGTTGCCATCTGCAAAAAGTATCATCTTACTTGTCTTATTTCTAAAGTTTTTTCTCTGCCATTTTTTTTTTTTACTATGTCAAGAAGAAGAAGAAGAAGAAGAAGAAGAAGAAGAAGAAGGAGAGAGAAGGAGGAATAGGAGAAGGAGAAGGAGAAGGAGAAGGAGAAGGAGAAGGAGGAGAAGGAGAAGGAGAAGGAGAAGGAGAAGGAGAAGGAGGAAAAGGAGAAGGAGGAGAAGAGAAGGAGAAGGAGAAGGAGAAGAAGGAGGAGAAGGAGAAGGGAGAGAGAAGGAGAAGGAGAAGGGAAGGAGAAGGAGATGGAGAAGGAGAAGAGAAGAAGGAGAAGAAGGAGAAGAGAAGGCAAAGAAGGAGGAGAAGAAGAAGAAGAAGGAGAAGACAAGAAGGAGAGGAGGAGGAGGAGGAGGAGGAGGAGGAGGAGAGAGGGAGGAGGAGGAGGAGGAGGAGGAGAGGAGAAGGAGAAGGAGAAGGAAAGGAGAAGGAGAAGGAGAAGGAGAAGGAGAAGGAGAAGGAGAAGGAGAAAGGAGAAGAGAAGGAGAAGAAGAGAAGAAGAAGAAGAAGAAGAAGAAGAAGAAGAGAAGAAGAAGAAGAAGAAGAAGAAGAAGAAAGAAGAAGAAGAAGAAGAAGAAGAAGAAGAGAAAAGGAGGAGGAAGGAGGAAGAAAGAAGAAGAAGAAGAAAGAAGAAGAAGAAGAAGAAGAAAGAAGAAAGAAGAAGAAGAAGAAGAAGAAGAAGAAGAAGAAGAAGAAGAAAGAAGAAGAAGAAGAAGAGAAGAAGAAGAAAGGAGGAGGAGGAAGGAAGAAAAGAAGAAGAAGAAGAAGAAAGAAGAAGAAGAAGAAAGAGAAGAAGAAGAAGAAGAAGAAGAAGAAGAAGAGAAGAGAGAAGAAGAAGAAGAAGAAGAAGAAGAAAGAAGAGGAGGAGGAGGAGGAAGAAGAAGAAGAAGGAGGAGAAAAGAAGAAGAAAGAAGAAGAAGAAGAAGAAGAAAAGAAGAAGAAGAAGAAGAAGAAGAAGAAGAAGAAGAAGAAGAAGAAGAAGAAGAAGAAGAAGAAGAAGAAGAAGAAGAAGAAAGTAGTAGACAGGAGGAAGAAGAAGATTTAGTACTCTACCCTTCTAAAATATAAATATGAAGTTATTTACAGACTATCTTCTATCAGTCACTGAACTCAAACCACTAATCTAAGTTACAGGGGAAAAAAAACACAGAATCACACATACTTCTAAAATATAGGATTGAAGTATCACATTACTTACAGAATCCTCTAGAAAATTGAGATTGGAGTCGTCAGGGAACTGCGGATATACATCAGCCGTTCCGTCATTATCAGTGATGCCAAAAGATTCGCCTGGTTTGAATTCTCCACAATCGTATATTTCACACCTCTGAAATTATTTGTAGAAAATGTCAATATTTACAATAATATATAATTCAAAATTTTTAAGCCACTGTATGCAAATCATTATCAAGATCAGTAATATGCAAAAAACAAAATATTGTGGAAAAATGGGTTACCTATGCACTGATCACAAAAAATAAATAAACAAAAAAAAGGAAATATATCCAAACACTCGTAAAAATCAAGAATGTCAACAGGGTATAGTTCAAAGCATCAATTCAATATTTGCAAAATTCAACAAATTTCTGAAATAGTTTACGAACTTGCTTACTGAAATTATTAATTCTCACTCATATCTTTCCCCACAGAGTCACAAAATTCATATAAATACAAGAAATATCAAGCCAAAGAGAGGAAAGATGACATCCACAGATTTTTTCCCATTGCTCATATGTGAACCTATTGCACAGTAAATTATGCTATCAAGAGGAAAATTGTCTACCTAAATATCCCGATGATTTATATGTGAACTCATTAATGGGCAAAAATATTTCCCCAACATTCCCCAGTCTCTTAAGGAAGACCATAATAACAAGAAAACTAATAGCTACCATAAGAGTCATTCACAGTTTCACATTATCCAACTTTAGGGCGAACACACACAGGAGGGAGTAATGATAACTATTATTTTTGGATGTAAAAGAATATTTTACTCAACACATGTAATATATGAGAAAGAGAAAATCAGGCATATACTTTAATAACCTGCATATAAAACTACAAAGAGCATTTTAAAATTGGTTTTGGCTTTCTTGCCCCTAAAATTAAGATAACTGTTTCCTCTTTTCGAGTTTGGTTTCTTTACTTTAACAACTGTATAATTACAAGTTATATATAAATTCAAGATTCAAAAATCTCCTTCACAGTTTTGTTAGTCAACTTTATAAATCATTAACTTTCAAAGATCTAACTATCAACCACTCTTTTATCTATGTAGTCTTTTATATTACATAAAGGCATGAAAATTGGTTGGAAAAAAAAGAAAAAAAAGAAAAGAAAAAAAAAAACATAATCCTTAAATTTCCCTTCTTGGGGTGGGGATTGGGAAGATATCACCATAAAAAAAATATTTTACAATTTTCTATTCCATCAGCCCATATCTTAAGACTTTTTTGCAGGAAAAAAAAAATGAGGCCTATCGTAGCTTAAATAGCAGATGGCTAAATCACTATTTTGTAGACCCTAATATCCATGTGGGCAATTCTTCAAATAAATGGGAGGATACACATAAAAAAAGAAAAAGAAGGTGAAGAAGAAGTCTGAAATGCACTACTCACCTCCACAGGCTTGTCTCCATCTGTCTTGACCTTCTCCAAGATCTTCGTCACCCCAAGACCCTTCACCACTCTTCCAAAGACCACATGCTTCCCATCTAAGTGTGGGGTTGCTGTGAGAGTAATGAAGAACTGCGACCCGTTTGTGTTGGGTCCCGCATTGGCCATGGAGAGGATACCCTCCGATGAGTGCTTGTATTCAAAGTTCTCGTCCTCGAACTTGTCGCCGTAAATACTCTCTCCACCCGTTCCATCATGGTTGGTGAAATCACCTCCTTGCACCATGAAGTTCTCAATGACTGTTCAGAAAAGAGAATTTTGGTAGTAATTTAGTAGTAGAGCTACACCATTATAAAAAAACGTAGTTAACAAAATTATTGGAATAAAGTTTTAGCCTGAGTATATGAGTCAACAGTGAAAAAGGGTAACAGGTGATTTCGGCCCACAGTAAAATCGGCCTGGTGATTTCGGCCCCATTAAAATAGGTCCTAAGTCACCTGGTGAATTCAGCCCACCTGGTTCCAGAGTCTTCGGCATGTGGTTGAACGACAGACATCTATCAATATATCTATACACATCAATTCTGCGATCCGATATGATTTATAGCAAATATGACTAATTACCATATCAGACTCTTATCAGACCATACCATACCATATCGAACCATACAAGATTATATTAGACCATACCTGACTCAATCTGAGGCAAATAAATGATCAGCTCTGGAATAATTTAGGATTTTTAGGGTAGGTGAGGTAAGGTAAGGTAAGGTAAGGTAAGGTAAGGTAAGGTAAGGTAAGGTAAGGTAAGGTAAGGTAAGGTAAGGTAAGGTAAGGTAAGGTAAGGTAAGGTAAGGTAAGGTAAGGTAAGGTAAGGTAAGGTAAGGTAAGGTAAGGTAAGGTAAGGTAAGGTAAGGTAAGGTAAGGTAAGGTAAGGTAAGGTAAGGTAAGGTAAGGTAAGGTAAGGTAAGGTAAGGTGTGAGGTGAGGTGTGAGGTGAGGTGTGAGGTGAGGTGAGGTGAAGTGAGGATAGGTTTGATTAGGTTAGTTAGGTTAAAGCGCTTTGACTAGCAACGAATGTACTGCACTTAGTGTAACACTTATCAAAATACATTGCTGATGCAGGACCTCTAGTACATATCATTCTAGTATCATTTGGTGATTGAAATCACTCTGAATAAAGCAATCCCAATGAGGTGAATTTGCCACTGGGTGAAATTACCTGGCCAAATTCACCATGGGCCAAAATCACATGAAACCCTGAAAAAGTATATTGAATTTGTCCTGCCTCCAATTTGTCTACGTCATCAAACCCAATATATATAATATATACATACACATACACATACACATACACATATGCACGCACGCACGCACGCACGCACGCAAGCACGCACGCACACACACACACACACACACACACACACACACACACACACACATATCTATCTATCTATATATATATATACTTAGGCATATATATCTACATGCATATATATATATATGTATATGTATATACACACACATTATATATATATATATATATATATATATATATATATATATATATATATATATATATATATATACACACACACATTATATATATACACACACACATTATATATATATATATATATATATATATATATATATATATATATATATATATATATATATATATATATATATACACACACACACATTATATATATACACACACACATTATATATAATATATATATATATATATATATATATATATATATATATATATATATATATATATATATATATATATATATATATATACTATATATATACATATATATATACATATATATATATACATATATATATATACATATATATATATACATATATATATACATACATATATACATATATACATATATACATATATACATACATTTCCATTATAATATATATTAAAGAACATACTGACAGAAAGAGAAAGACACACAGAAAGAGAGCTGTGCAAATCCCCATACAGTTCCAAAGTGACTTACTTCGATGAAAAGTGCATCCTTTGAAGTGGAGCGGCCTGCCCTTCTGCCCTGTTCCTTTCTCGCCCGTACAGAGAGCCCTGAAATTCTCGACGGTTCTGGGGCATTTATCTTCGTAGAGCTCGAGAATAATTCTGCCAGCTGCAATAAAGGAAACAATATTAGGAGGATTTTAGCATTTACGCTTCGAGGAAGTGTATGATAGCATCAGTTTCATAACTTTTATAGTAATGACTATAAAAATAATAACTATAATAGTAATATCTATAATGTAATAACAAAAACAACAATGATGAATGATGATGATGATGACAAATGATGATGATGATGATGATGATGATGATGATAATAATGATATCAACGATGATGATGATAATAATGATAACAATGATGATAATAATGATAATAATGATAATAATGATAATAATGATGATATCAATGATGATATCAATAATGATGATGATGATGATGATGATGATGATGATGATGATGATGATGATGATGATGATGATGATGATGATGATGATGATGATGTTATAAATAATAATAGTAACATAATATTAATCGGATATTTATCCTAGTACAGCTTGAGCATAATTCTGCAGATGACAAAGGAAACAATATCCATAGGTTTATAATATTTACACTTTGAAGAAGTGTGTAACATGTTTCATAACTATAATGGTAATATCTATAACAGTAATAATAATAGCAATAATAATAATTATAATAATAATAGTAATAATAACAAAATCACTAACAACAATCATGGTAATACTATTAATGATAATAGTAATACCAATAATAATATCAATAACAATAATAACATTGTTAATATTATTATATGTATAATATTAATAATAATAATAATAATCATCATCATAATAATAATAATAATAATATGATAATAATAATAATAATAATAACAATAATAATAAAATAATAACAATAAAAAATAACAAATATAATAACAATAATAATAATTATCAATTACAATCACAATCATAATCATGATCATGATATCAATAACATTAGTAATAACATCCATAACTCCAAAATTTATAATTCGAAAATTATAGTAATAATAGATTAAAGAGAAAAAAGTGAGAAAGAAAAAAATATATAAATGTATATCATTTCCATTATTTTTGCAATTATCATTATCATCACCACCATCATCATCATTATAATCACTATCACTGACACTATCATCATCACCATTATTAAAACTATCATAAAGCTAATTTCATCATCATAAATTTTGTTTATATCATTATGACAATCATCATCACTATTCTTATCATCATTATTATCATTTTTAGCTCCATTAATTTTATAATTTCCAAGCATTGTATTTTGTATTACTATTGGCATTATCATTATCATTG